AAAAGCATACGACGCAAAGAGCGTAGAAACTCTTTAAAATATAAGCTTTCAGCCAAAGAAAGGGAGACGAACGAAACATTCCAAAAAGATCTCTCAAACTATCATATTTCTGACAGTCAAGTCAGTGTGCTATCAAAGGGTCTCAAATTCATCCCAACACCCGTGACCAACCAGTGTGAAATTAGGCAACAACTCTTGTGAGATTTTGTAGAATTCGCAAGACGAATGCGCGGCTTCAATGCATCTTTCATAGACAAAACAAGAACCACTTCCGTTTCATGTTAAATCAAACTTGATGCCACCGGTTCAGCCTTCTATTGCCTTTTAGAGAAATGTAAAAACACAACTTAGGGAGATTACTGTAACTAAGCCAAAAAATGATTGGTCACGCAATGAGGTCATGGCTTTAAAAGACTCTGCTTTAAACCTCAAAAACGCAGACAAAGGTACAACAGTCATCATGAATAAGACAGAAAAAAATAGAAGAGGCCAAAGTGCAACTCGACAACAGACTTCACAACAAACCTCTCAGATCACCGATAGTAAAAAACACGCAGAAAAGGGTTAATGAGATCATTGACCAAATGCATCGGGGCAAACACATTAATGACATCACTAGGAAATGACTTTCACAAACTCCCGATCCACCTAGAACACCAATATTCCATAAGCTCTCGAAAATACACAAACCTATACCGGTCGGTAGACATATAATCTCAGGTTGTTACGGCCCTACCGAGAGAATATCGTCTTTTGTGGAGATACTACTCTAGCCCATGGCGCAATGCAACAATCCCATATGAAGGATATCACTGCTTTTATCAACTTCTTCGAAAAAACAAAGGTAGGCAAATATGCTATTCTAGTATCAACGGACGTTTCTAGCTTGTATACAAATATATCTCACGAAGGAGGAACAAATATAGTATGTGAAGCATTTGAAAAGTTCAACAACCATAATGCACCGATCCCAACGCACTACCTCAGGGAAATGCTTGTCTTAATTCTTCAAGAAAATTCGTTTCAATACAATGAGGTAAACTTCCTCAAACACATGGAACCGCTATGGGTACGGAAATGGCAGTGCCCTTTGCCAATATTTCCATAGTGGAAATTAAAACGAAAATAATCCAACATAGCAAAACTGAGCCAAGAAAATGGAAACGATATATTGATAACGTTTTCTTCCTTTGGGATTGAGACAGGAAAGAGATAGATCAGTTTATTAAACGAACTAACTATTTTCACTGTACTATCAAGTTCACAGCCGAAATATCAGAGAACCAAATCACTTTCCTAGATGCCACAGTGTTTAAAGGGGAAAGATTCGCAAAAGATTCCATCTTGGATATCAGAACCCAGTACAAGCCGACCGAGACCTTCCAATTTACGCACTTCATCTCCTGCGACCCACCAGGCGTAAAACATGGTTTCATTCAAGTCGAAGCAATAAGATTGCTCAGGACATACTCTTCGAAAGAAATATTGGAAAAGGGCTTTCTAAATTTCAAACAACGCCTCAAAGCAAGAGGTCACTTAGAAAACATCAAAGAAAGGTCTCTGTCAGGGCAATTGGCTCTTACACATTCACAAAAACCAAGGTCACGAACGTTTATTGCCTTTTGTCACAACATACAACCCGGCCGTTAAAAATTTAAAACAAATATCAATACAAAATTGGAGTAACCCTTGCTGAAAGCAATCTTTTCAAAACCTCCGACCATCTCTTTCAAACAGAGAAAATCACGTTCGTAAGAGAAAAAATTTAATGTGAGGGCACTAACGTGACGCAACCACAAAAGCCACATGGGGCGTCCTTGCAAACCTGTTCTCACCTGAGCTAACAAGCCAACTAGGAGCTGATCATTAAGTTGGTTCCAAGTAAACCCTCCAAATGGTAAATAATGACTGTAAATATATGGAAATCATATGTGTGCACTGTGGTTGTTAGCTCACTTGTTAGAGCGCTGCACCGGTATCGTAGAGGTCATGGGTTCAAATCCCTTATGGGCCTGAATTTTTTCAGGCCCTATTTCAACTTCTAGTTCAGTAGTGTTCAAAACTGCGAGGATCACCTCTATGTTCATTATTTCCTGCCATCTAATTTTCTTTAATTTTCCAACAACACGTCGGTAATGAGTAATTTCATTCTCAAGTTCCTTCTGACAATCACAAATCATCTGTAACCTCAAATCATTTGGTATTATTGGATAAATCGGCGGTGCACTTGGGCCACCCCACAGCCCTTGGCTCGAGGAGCTTGAGCAATGAAGTACTTCATGCCGGGGGCTGCGAAGCATCCCAAGCAGCCCCTGACCTGAAGGGCTTAGGTTCATAGAGCGTGGGGCACTTCGCACCCCTTGACCCAAAGGGCTTTAGTCATAAAGCATCCCCTGGCCCGAAAGGCTTGGGTAATGAAGCGGCCCTACCCAAAGGGCTTCGCAAAACACTCTCAGAACACATTTTTTGTTATGAAGTTATTTCCAGCTCAAACCTTAAACGAAGACCATCATGATGATCTCACGATTCTCGTCGGTCGCGAAAATTCGCGTAGATAATAGTTCACTCTGTCAAAGGGTTGCTCGTTAATGTTGAAGCATCCAAGAATGCTTGAGGGCTCTCCTTTGAAAACCTTTTCATTCTTATCCAAGAGATCACAGTGGACATGGTGGCTGAAAAACGATGTAATCCTTTTGATTAAGTTGATGGTTTGCAAACGTCGTTTAATTCCAAGGAAAGTCAGCCAGATCATTGTCAAGAGGGAGATGGTTATTTTGAGGATTGTGGACTTCCAACACTCCTTTCAACCTCCAGTCTTTCACTCTTCAATGTATCTAGAAGAGCTTGGCGAATGCTTTTGAGTAAATAATTACCTTCTGAAATTCTCTTTACAGTTGGAGTGCCCTTGGCATTGAATACAGAGATTTTTCCAGTTCGCTTCAAATTAAACCAAGTGTTGTAGAAAGAACAGCTTACTAGCTTAATATGTTGATATTTTTCGCTGCTGAAAGCAGCAAGCTGGGATTGCGAGACTGAATCAGTCAATTGAAGCATTCGTGTATTGCATTCTTGGTGCACAAGTCAATGTCAGATCATCAATCTTGGTTTCACCAGGAAGTGTAAAGGAAGGCTAACGTTAGTTCCTCACATTGGTTGAGGGTGCGATCAGAAGGCAATACATTTCGAAGAGTGCTCAGAGGTTTCAGATTGCGATTGATGAAGCAAAAGTCCGGCTTCGTCTTGCACTCTCACTAGGTACTTGGCTTATGCAATAACAGCCTGAAGAAGGCAACTTCTGAAATGAAGTTCAGAGCTAACAGCTCAGTGAATTTGGAGACGAAGTCAGTTGGTGTAGGGCTGATGAATGGGGGTTCATCAAAGATCAACAAACCGACGCCTCAAGCCTT